TGGAGAAATGAATGAATCCTTTTGTGTAAGGGTTTTGTAACTCAGTGAAGAGTTTAGAGCCTTTGCCAAAGGAGATATGTGAGTATTTTGCACAAGTTATATATAATATTTATATACTAGTAATGTAAGTTCACCAGTATTGAAACACCTCTGTGGGTGGCAGCTAAGCCAGAGACAGCTAAATCTCATTTTCCATACTTTAGAAGCCCTCGTTTCTAGTTCAGTCAGGAACTGTTGTTGGTCGGCTGTTTAATTAAAAAAGAAGTTAAAGTAACCGAATACATAGACATAAGAGAAGAGACACAGAGAGATGCAAACCTTAAAGTTTTTGAACTTAGGACAAATGTATGTGAATAGATGTCTATATGTACATATGTACACACACACACACAAACTTACATGCTGAGGCCGAGTTTTTTATAACAGGCCAAGGAATTTTCTTTGACATAGCAGTGCCAATTGCTAATCTGTGCTACATTTTTTTGCATGAACACATTCATAATGCATCATATGATTTCTGGTTTTTAATTAACTTGAAGTAGATAGAAGCTTAAGAATAATTGCTGAACACCCTGAGTACAGGATTCTTCTAGATTTTTATCCTATTATTTCTTTTTTGTTATGTATTTTATAGCTATCTCCCTCACACCTAAAATTAGGGAAAAAAATGATTGTGGTAAAACATAGAATAAAAGCTACATTTTAACCATTCTTTATACAAGTCAAGAACATTAACTGTGTTCACAATGATGTGCAGTAATCATCACTATCCATTTCCAGAATTTTTTTTTAATCTTCCCAAATAGAAACTATGAACTCTTTAAACAGTAAAGACCCATTACCCTGTACTCCCAGTCCTTGGTAACCTCTATTCCTCTTTCTATTTCTGTAAATTTTGCCTGTTGTAGATACTCACGTAAGTGAAATCATGCAGTATATATCCTCTGTATCTGGCTTATTTCAATTAGTTTAATATCCTCAAGGTTCTTCTTTGTTGGAGTCTGTGTCAGAAATTTTCTTTCTTTTCATGACTGACAAATACACTTCTGTATGGTATACTACATTTTGTTTATCCATCATCTGTCAGTGGACATTTTCCCCCAGGTTTTGGCTATTGTAAACAATGTTTCCATGAATATTGGTGTAGAAGTATCTGTTTGAGTCTCTGTTTTTAATTCTTTAGGATCATGCCCAGGAGCAGAATTGCTGGATCATATGATAATTTTATGTTTACTCTTTTGAGGAACTGCCAAATTGTTCCCCCCCCACCAAAAAAAAAAAAACACTTTCTCTTACATCAGTTTGTCTTTGTGAAGAATTTCCATGACTTTCAACCTGGTTTTCACAGAAGCAACAATTGTCTTTTCTTCCAGTCCTGTATTAATCAGTTTGAGCCATTTAATTAAATTTTATCATCACAATAACAAGTCCAAGTGTTTAGAAATGCATACAATTAATATTCACTAAGTGTACAACTCAGCTGGCAAGACCAGCAGTGCTTAGAGAGTAAGTTTTCAGCCTTGACCCCAGAGTGCTGTGGGTACCAGCCAATACAAAGAACAGATCGTGGAATGGATGGAGTAGACTGGTTAATCAGGCTAGTTCAGTGCTTGCAGGTGAAGAAAGCTTCTGCTACTCACCTAAATTGACCTTGTCATGATAAAATATGTAAGAAATTATTATGGCAGAAACTAGAAAAAAAAATCAGCTGCTCTGGAGAAAGGCAGACTGCGAAGGCTAAAATAGAGTGAGAAGTTGGCTGATCTGGTCAATTTTGTATAAATTATTGAATGTAAGAAAAGACTAACGATCAAGAGCAGCAGGTTGTTTTCCCAGGCCACTTCCCACTGCGGATGATAAATGAAAGAGAAACAGGGGAAAGGGAGTTGTACATATTCTTAGGAAAAAGATAGCTTTCAAATTAAGATTCCATGCTAAGATGTGATTAGAATGTGTCCTCGACCATTCCAAAGTGAAATCATGAAGCTATAGAAGGAATACTTTTATATAGCATCTTCCATCCTTGTTAGCTACCCAAATGATTAAAGGCTTGAGAATTGCCCCTCTAAATATGGCCTGAAGGAACTGGGTTTATTTAGCTTAGAGAGAGAAAGCAAGCATGCTGAGGGGGACTTAATAATAGTCTCTGAGAATATGAGGGATATTCTCTGAGTGATGGAAAGCAGCTGTTTCCTGTTTCCACTAAGGACTGCATAAGAAGAGTGGAGTTAAATTGCAGCAAGTGGGTGTAAGGACTCCTTGTCCATAAAGTTCAAGACAATAAGCCCACAAGACTAAAGTCACTTCTCTGCCTCAGAACTATAATAGCGAACTCTTTTTGGGGGTGATTTACATGTAGCCTGTTCCTGAATCTTGAACTAGTAAAACATCTAGACGACCTTTCACCCTTTCAGAGTATGAAGTTGTTCATTGTCTGAGCTGGCTGATGCCCTGATTGTGGAGGAAGCCATTATCCTCAGTCTTTCATGATATTTAAACCAGAAAGAACTCCAGTCTCTTTGCTCCCTTTTGTTGTGTTTTCGGAGCAAGATAATCCAGATTTATTCCTTCTCTATGAGGTAAAGAATTTTCATAGACTTGCCAATATGTATTTTTATTGTCCATTTGGTCAGTATGGTCATGATTTATTTATTTAAAAGAAATGCAGTGTCTTCAGTGATATTGAATATTATATATATATATGTGTGTGTGTGTGTGTGTGTGTGTGTGTGTGCGCGCGTACATATATGTCACATATGTCATGGGCATTTAATATGTGATACATTTATTTTGATACATAATTAAACTATTAAATCATTATGTGATATATATCACATAATAATGAAAGCAATATTTTAGGACCATAGAAAATATGCAAAACATTATGTAATAGTGCATCACTACAGGAGATCAGCTAGGAGAAAAATCTAAAGACAGAAAAAGGAGTTCTGGGTATGTTATTAACTTTTAGCCAGTAAGACAGATGGAAATGCCTGAGAATTTCTTCTCAAGCATTATTTTTATCCTTCCTATCCTATGTTAGTTTAATTATGCCATTTATTCTGAAGTGGATAAGTAGTGTCTTACTTGCCCAACTGGGAGTTATTTTCAAGGCAAGCTTTGATTCCCAGAGGACTGACTGATGTTAAGCAAAGTTACAGCTTTATGTCAGCATTAACTGTGTGTACATTCCACCATGGTATATTTTCATCCTGTACCGACATCTATTATAATCTTATTTAAAGATCTCTGCCTTTATTATTAAATGTGTTCTGCCATCTGGAAAGGGGTCAGGGTGAATCATGATCTGACTTTGACTTCCCTAACTTTTTTTTTGGCTTTCCAAATTCCAGCACTGAAGTAGAAAAATGACTTAGAGTTGCTTTGTATCCTCTTTCTGTGCTTGTTCACTGTGAGGGACTGAGGGACTTACTTCACCCCCCTGAGTTTCTGTGTCTTTAATCTACCTTACAGCAATATTTTGAGGATTACATTAAATGAAACAATGTGTGCCAAACCCAGAGCCTGTTGTGCCCAGCCCCCAGCCCTCGAGTCATGTTTATTTGCTTCTGTAATTCACAAAAAGAATCATTTGCCTATTGAAGGATCATGATTGCTTCTGGATTCTCTTTATTTATAGGGGTTCTTTGGACCATTGGGGCAGGCCTGTAGAATATGATTTGTGAAAAATTCATGAGGACACCCAAGAGTCCAATCATAAAATCTCTTTCCTCTTTTATACTTTCTTAATCCAGAAAAAATGGCTACTATAATGCCAAATATTCTTGTGTTGTCAAATCACCTGGAATAAATTGTGTCTACACACTGACAGGGAAAATGCATTTTAAAATCAATAGGAAATCACACTTTTTTTTTTTTTTTTTGCTTTGCAAGGCTAACAGAGAGTTAATAAATTATCTAGATCTTCAGAGAGTCACTTAATAGACAATGATTCAACTGAGTCCTATGCTTTGAAATGCTATCAAGTTGAAAGCATGATCCTTGACTTGGAGAAGCTTGTAAACTTGTAGAAGAGACCAAACCCATAAGTATGAAGAATTAGACTGAATGTAAGAAAGGACAGAGAAAACAGGTCCTAAGCCCCTAAGTACTGAGGAAGCAGAGGCTGTAGGTTGAGGGGGGGATTTACTGTAGCTCTAGGAGACTTAGGATGGTGGATTGGTTCATAAAACATTACTGTTTCAAGATAGAATTGTTGAAAACCACCACAACTATTCACTTCCCATAGAAACCCAAGAACATGCTGCAGTTGTTGTTTACTTATTTGAAATCAACATTTCTTTCTAAAGTCTCAGTTTTGAGCTGATTTGCTTTCAGCCTCTCAGAGGCACACTGTGCCAGATTGCTCTTGCCCAGATTCATTCTTAGGCTGTGGGATATGGAATATCTTTATAAATCATCACAAGTCGTACTGAGAGTAAAAATCTCAGCTAGAGTCTTACCTCAAAAGCTGAGGCAGGACACATATTTTAATGCCAATGGATTTAGGAACCAAGGTTAGGACCTTGCTGTCTTTGGCAGAAGATTTATAATTCAGGGACTTTGGAGGGTGAGCGTTGGGTTTTCTGAACAGGACCTCTCCCCGTGTCCCTCTCTGTACCCCGGCTCCCCAAATTAAAAGAAATAAGGAAGCAGAACAACAAAACCATTAACTTAATAGCATAGGATTTATGGCCAAAATCTCACAAAGCTTATGTCAGCAAAGCAAAATAATTACTGCCACTTTCTTTTAGACACTTGGCTTTATGGTTCCCATCACCTTTATCATAACATGCAGCTGATTTAGTAGCTCTATTTTTCATGGCAAATGGCCTGGTGTTATGTTTTTATGCATGTGGCCATGCTTGAGATGACAATACGTGGACACACTGGTGTGCAGCTAAATTTAGATAATGAATCAGGATAATGTTAATGGTTTGGGTTTCGTCGGGCTGTCGGTCTGCCAACTGAGCTTTGGCTCTTGCCTTTTCTCCCTCTAGATCCTCAAATCCAAAGATTTAACATCTCCAACCCAGCGCTACATTGACAGCAAAGTCGTGAAAACAAGAGCAGAAGGCGAATGGCTGTCCTTCGATGTGACTGATGCAGTTCATGAGTGGCTTCACCATAAAGGTTATAACCACCTTCTAGTTTTCTCCCTAGATGTGGCCCTAAGTTATTGTAAATCGATTGCAGATTTAAAAGTGCAGATAATATACTTACAAATGACCTCCTTGACTTAATGTTTTCCAGATAGGAACCTGGGATTTAAAATAAGTTTACATTGTCCCTGCTGTACCTTTGTACCATCCAACAATTACATCATACCAAATAAAAGTGAAGAGCTAGAAGCAAGATTTGCAGGTAACTGAAACTATGTGGTGGGGGAGGGCTTGTGTTGATAATCTCATGAGGATAATGTCACTTAGCATTGTTGGATGAAGTGTGGGGAATCATTCATCTGGGCAAAAATATGGCTGGAAAAAAGTATAAGAAGGCAGAAAAAAATTAGAAGAAAGGGATTGTTTCCCGGTTTTCATACTCGGCAGTACCCCACCATGACTTGGTCAATACTAACTGATTGGCTCCTTGACCCTGAAAAATATTGACTAGTCAGTTAAACTCTTTATTCTTCATTTAAGCAAAGCTCATTTTCCATCTATTATGATATTATAGAACTATATGACATACACTCAGTGAAATCCGTTGATAAGTCCCTAAACCAAATATCAGAAACCGACAACTGTTTTTCATCAGAGAAAAGAGTCCTCTCAAGCCTCAGTTTCTATGCCTTAACTTCCCTGTGTTGGAAAAGTCGCCCTTTTCTAGCCTGTACCCAATATTTCAAGTTTCTTCCTTATCAGACTTTTATAATAGCTGATAAACACAAGGCAAGGCTTTAGATTTCCCATGCCCACCTTGAAGTGAACTAACCAAAAACCAGAGAGAATGAGAAGACGCCAAGGGCTTGGGTCACTTGGTACATTGGATAATGAGTCACTGGGGAAAGAGACCAGAGGGAAGCCTATGCCCATGTGCCAGTGCCACATCGGCCTACACTGCCAGGTCAGGGAGCTGATTTTTCTTCCCTCCTAACATCACCTGGGACCTCCATCCACTTTTAAAAGGCTATAGTGGCCCCCGCTCATGGAAAAATGCTCCCAGAGGTTTCGAGATTTATTTCAGTCTCTAACCTAGTCATGATTCTCTTGAGTGTGGAGATTAAATGCTTAAACTGGCAGTCTCCTGAGCATGCTTTGGGGAGCTCAAGTTTCTAAATCTCAGATGGAATCAGGAAAGTGTTGAGGATGCCATAAAATAAATGAAAAAGCCCTTTCTTTGCAGCTTCCCAAAATAGCATTAGGTAAGGGTGACTTCTGTTTCACTTGAACTTATTTCACTGCCATGGAGCTAAGTCTCAGTTTAGGCTCATTAGGAAAGTCTTCTGAGTTTAGCAGTCTTAGTAAGAATGTGAGCCTGCGGGTGACAAGGCATGTTCTATGGCTGCACGTTCATTTGTGGAGGGTTTGAACACAGCCTACACTGAGGATCAACTAAATTAAACTGCCTAGGTTGCTAGTGGCCATAGGTCAAAGTCTTCTTCTGCTGTGACTTCCTAAGCAACATCCCTGCCTTTGATGCTGTGCTGCCTTCTGATAAGAGCCCCACATACAAGTGTAGTCACCTGTGGTAGTCCTATTGTGCCACATCTGTTTCCATGGGGAATGACTATAGCCAGCCAATGCTGTCATGGTGGTCATCACTGCTATTTGTGACAATATACAAAAGAGAAAAAAAATATATATATATATATATAAATATAGCTGATAATATATGATGAAGGTAAAGCTAAATGTTTATTACCCAAATGCATTTTTTCAAGGTATTGATGGCACCTCCACATATACCAGTGGTGATCAGAAAACTATAAAGTCCACTAGGAAAAAAAACAGTGGGAAGACCCCACATCTCCTGCTAATGTTATTGCCCTCCTACAGACTTGAGTCACAACAGTCCAACCGGCGGAAGAAGCGTGCTTTGGATGCGGCCTATTGCTTTAGGTAAGAAAATGGAGATAAAACCGAGCACCTGTGTCTGTTATACCTCCTTCTGCCTTTACTTTTTCCTACATATTGACTTGAGTTGAACTCATAGACTGAGGATAGACAGAGGACAGTACAGCCCTGGTATCTTGTGATACTGTTCCTCTCAGAGGCTTTGAGCAGTTATTTCTCTGTTGTATTCACCAGCCCGTGACCAAAGAACGAAGGGTGAAGGGGGAAAACTAGCCCCCCATGATGATCCCCCAAATCCCTCTGAAGGGCTTTGATGCTGAAAAAGAAAATGAGCTCTCTACCCTTCTCCCCAGAGAAAATAAATTCATTCTAGATGTGTGACGTTGACTCTATAATTCAGGAAGACCCACCATCTGTGTGACCTTACCCTTCTCTTCAGAATGCCTGTGGTGACATTTTTTTTGACAGAAATAGACATGAGATAGCAGAGAGTGCCATTAGCTACAGAATCTTACAGAAATGGGGGAACAGGACGAGAACTTATTTCTCATTCTGTGGTTTCCTATCCAGTTTGGTAAAAGGAGGGCTCTCTCTTTTGAGAGTTGTGGGACGATGCCGGGTTCTCCATGATAGCAGTGTCAGAGGTCACCAGGAGACGGCATTTTTCACTTTCAGAACCTGTGATTGCATGCAACTTTTTCCTTGATTTCTAGTATATTATGACGAAGTAATGGGTGGTAAAATGCAGGATATATTCTCAAAGATAAATGCCTTAGATGGTTCTCTGAAAATAACTGCTGTACTTTGTTTTTAATGTAAAAGGACAATAGAAGCTAGCTGGCACAACTGCACAGTGGTGGTTAGAAAGGAAGGTCCCTTTCAACCACCTCCCTGCATAAGCATTTGACAGTAAAGGTTTGACTTTATAGGTCACAGACAAGGGAGTCAGGGGATAGGACTCATAAGGGAAAGTCATCCAGCAGGTCATCACAGCATCCTATCATCAAAGTCACTTGAGATTACAATAAGACCACTGAAACCTAGCCCAGGCTATGTGGTCATTAGATGTTTGTTGAATAAACGAATGGGTAGTTCTTCTGGTTTGGGATAAGGCAGGTGGGAAATCAGCTTTAAAATCTCCACTGATGTTTCTTTCAACAGAAATGTGCAGGATAATTGCTGCCTACGTCCACTTTACATTGATTTCAAGAGGGATCTTGGGTGGAAATGGATACATGAACCTAAAGGGTACAATGCCAACTTCTGTGCTGGAGCGTGCCCATATTTATGGAGTTCAGATACTCAGCACAGCAGGGTAAGTGTTTGGCTAACTCATCTCCTCTGTTCTAGGCTGTCTGCTATTGTATTTTTAAATGAACTGTAATGGTCTTTATGCCCTTTTGCCATCATGTGTGCCTAGGTGCTGGATAAATCTTTTTAGATGAGGAGAAATGTAGGCTGTAGGTAAAATAAAAAAGTAACACTGATCCCTTTCAAAAGCAGATTACACCTTCTCATCAAGATCATAAGCGACTTGAAGACAGTTTTGTTTCTTGTAGTATATTTTTAACAGCTATAAACATAATTAGGTTCCCCACTCCACACACACAAAAACACTTTGAATCAATATACACAGAGTGTCATATATAGCTAAGGTGTGAAGGGACCCAGAGGTCCATCTAAAAAAGTATCTGTTATCACCTCCGTTTGGGACTGACATATTAGAAATAACACTGAAGACTGCAGTTGGTGCTTTGGTGTATGATTTACTGTAGTAGGAGAATTAGAAAGTCCTTTAACCTCTCTGAACCTTAAATTTCTTATCAGTAAGAAGGAATGTCTATATTAAAAGTTATTATTATTTTTTTTTTTGGTTCCAGGGACTGAACCCAGTGGGCCTTACCCATGAGCCACATCCCCATCCCTTTTTATATATTAGTTTGAGACAGGGTCTTACTGAGTTGCTTAAGTCCTCGCTAAGTTGCTGAGGCTGGCTTTGAACTTATCATCCTCCTACCTCAACCTCCAAGCTGTTGGGATTATAGGTGTGTGCCACCAAAAGTTATCTTTAAATTGATAATGCTGAACTGGAGAGTTGTTGTGAAATACAAAAAATGATACATGTGAAATGATTAGAAAATTAGCATAAATCTTTCTGGATATAACCCAAAGTAATCAAGAATCTGCATATATTTAGTCAAGTTATTTCCATCAAGATAGAGAGCTAACTCAGAAGGCAGGTCCAAGTTTGGATGCTGTGAGTTCCCAAATCCAGATCAGCAAAATCTTTTTCTTTATAATAATGCTATTTGTCCATAGGCTTCTTCCTTCCTACATCTTTCATGATATAGGATTATAGAGATGGGAGAGACTTCATAAATAATCTCGATCAAACCTTAACATTTAAAAAAAAAAATCAGAATGTCGATTGTGTACATGACTTGCCCAAGATCAAACAGAAAATGAGGGACAAACCGGGGCTTGGAAGGCAGCCGTCCTTTTTTATATAACCAGGCCTCTATTTGCTCTGTCTTACTGAGTATAATTCCTAAAATGTGGCTTCACATGGGGGTTTCTATTCTGCTCTTTATGCATCTGTAAATCTCCCTATTAAAGCGGCATTAGAAAAATTGCCTTCACTGCAGGGTAGGAAAATGAACCTGCTGCCAAAAAGAGCACAGAATGCATTCAGCTGAATTCAAGAGTTTGGGGGGTTATCAATTATTTTAGACAATCTAAATGTTATAAAAATTCCTCCTAGTTCTCATGAAAAATCATGTGTTAGTGGAATACAAAGTATATTTATTTATAAATGCCTGCATAAGCTGGAAATGAAATTGACAGATATGGTTCCCCTTCCTTCAGCTGTTTTCCCAACTCCCCTGAAGGCTTTGGCACTCTTGGGTGACCACGTGCTTGCCCATGTGAGGGAAGCTTGCTCATGCCTGTCCCTTTGTCTGAGCTCTCTGGCCAGGCTGCTTCATCTGGGCTGCGGCAGCAGTAGCTGTAATGTGGGCACGGCCCAGCTGCCAAGTAGAAACATAATTCTCCTCCCCGATACACAAGAGGGAGTGTGTGAAGGCTGAGACCAGGCTTGTTTTTCAAGGAGAGAGGAAGAATAACTGTCATGGTCACAAATATGTGGTTTGGACCGTTACCCAAGACACCAGGGGTAGCTTAATAAAGTAGTCAGTGTTGCTGCACTGAACAGATCTTGTGTCTTAGGATGAAAAAATTGCAGTGAATCTCGAGGAAAAGGTCACTTACTGTTTGAGTAACACATTAATGGCATCCTTGCAAATGTCTCTGTGTCATCAGTGTGGATCCTACATACTTCCATTAGTAAAAGTCATATACGCTTTGATACAGAATGGGGATAAAAGTACAGGGCTAACTACACAACTTTGTCTTCATTCCGTTTTAGAACTGGCAGTGCACTCCTCCCTCTCAGCCACTACCATTTATCATATGAAAGGTTAATGGAGGGTTCATTATTTTTTTTAATGTACTTTCTGGTTGTACATGGACACATTACCTTTATTTTATTTATTTTACTTTTATGCAGTGCTGAGGATCGAACCCAGTGCCTCACTTGTGCCAGGCAAGCACTCTACTGCTGAGCCACAACCCCAGCCCCATGGAGGGTTCACTATTAATACTGCTTTTAAGAAAAATCTAAGAAAGTGAATAATGAAGAACGTAGATTGCGTTTGATGTCATTCTTAACATCATTGCAGTTATGAAGCGACAAATGAAAAGACTTTTAAATGAAAAGACTTTTAAAAATGGCAATTTAGGCCAGGTGGCATGGCACATGCCAGTAATTCCAGTGATTTGGGAGGCTAAGGCAAGAGGATTGCAAGTTGGCGGCCAGCCTCTGTAATTTAGGGAAGTCCTAAGCAACTTAGTAAGACTGTCTCAAAATAAAAAAACAAATAAAAAAGCTGGGGATGTAACTTAGTTGTAAAGTAGTGCCCCTGGATTCAATCCCCAGTACAAAAAAAGAAAGAAAGAAAAACAACAATTTGGTAACATTAAATTGTCCTGCAAAGATAATTAACATAGAAAGATTTTACATTATAGAAAGGTGTCTTTCTCTATGCCCAAGGGTAAGTTGAAGCTCTTATGACAATTTTAAACATTTTATTATTTTTTTCTTTTTATTCATGTATCTATGATCTCTTCACCTAGCATACATGTATTATTTTGTCCAGTAAAGACTTACTAGGGCTACATGGTACAAAGTCTACAGAGTCCTCAACCTCAAAAGATCTCTTAATCTTCTTGGGAATTTAAAACATACATTCACAAACAATTTCTATTAAAAAGTAGTATAGAAACAAGAACAAATACTACAAGATCTGGCAAATTTATGTGGCAGTGATCAGAGTAGGCAAGTTGGGAAATTAGGAAAATCTGAAGAATGAGTAATTTTGTCCAATCTCACTTTTATAGATCATTTGTTTAAGATGCACGAAAAAAAGCATCTAGTGCAGAAAGGGTGAGTTTGGTGATTGCTAAGGACACATACCAATCTGACCAAAATTTAGAGTTAAAAAAAAAACAAAAACAGTAATATACCCCAAATAATTAAAATTGCCTACTATAAGTGCTGTGGCTGATAACAATGTAAAATGGTTATTGAAAAGATAATATGGCTTTTCTTTCTCTTTTTTTTGTTTTTGCTCTTATATTGGTCTTGCCCTGTGGTATCACTCCTTTCCTGTGTCTCTTCAGGTTCTCAGTTTATATAACACCATAAATCCAGAAGCATCTGCTTCTCCTTGCTGTGTGTCCCAAGATTTGGAACCGCTAACCATTCTCTACTACATCGGCAAGACACCCAAGATCGAACAGCTTTCCAATATGATTGTAAAGTCTTGCAAATGCAGCTAAACTTCTTGGAAAAACGACAAGGCAGAAATCATGATAACAACAGCAACGACCATGATTATGCTTGTAACAAGAAAACATAGAGAGCCTTTTTTCATCAGTGTTAACAGATTTTGAAAAAGCGGTACTAGTTCAAATACTTTGGAAGTTTGTGTTCTGTTTGTTAAAACTGGCATCTGAAACAAAAAAAGTGGAAGGCCTTATTCTACATTTCACCTACTTTGTAAGTGAGAGAGAAGAAGCAAAATCTTCTTTTTTTTAAGAAAAAAATAAACACTGGAAGAATTTGTTAGTGTTAATTATGTGAAAGAAAAAAAAAAACAGGAAAATCCCATTAAGTGGAGTTGCTGTACGTACCGTTCCTATCCCACGCCTCACTTGATTTTTCTGTATTGCTATGCAATAGGCACCCCTCCCGTTCTTACTCTTAGAGTTAACAGTGAGTTATTTATTGTGTGTTACTATATAATGAACGTTTCATTGCCCTTGGAAAATAAAACAGGTGTATAAAGTGGATACCAAATACTTTGCCAGAAACTCATGGATGGCTTAAAGAACTTGAATTCAAACGAGCCAGAAAAAAATAAGAGGTCATATTAACGGGATGAAAACCCAAGTGAGTTATTACATGACCAAGCGAGTCTGCATTAAGATAAAGACCCTGAGAACACATGCCGTGTACCAACTGCCTAAGGAAGCTTCGTGTAAGGTTCAAACACTAAAAAGCCTGTTAATAAGAACAGAATGAGTCTGTAAGATTTTTTTTTTTAATTTTCCTTTCAATTGTAAATGGTTCTTTGTCAGTTTGGCATACCAGTGAAATGTTGAAATGTTTTGACATGTACTGATCAAACTTAGGACCTTCGAGTATTGCTGTATAGCTATGCTATGGTTTTTATTTTTTCTTTGTTTTGGTATATGTAACCAGTCCTGTATTATTAAAATAGATGGGCATAGAAGCCAGCATAATTGAAAACACATCTGCGGATCTCTTTTGCAAACTATTAAATCAAAACATTAACTACTTTACGTGTAATGTGTAAATTCTTACCATATTTTTTATATTCTGTAATAATGTCAACTATGATTTAGATTGGACTTAATTTGGGCTCTTTTTAATGATCATTCACAATTGTATGTTTCCTTTAGCCGGCCAGTACTTTTGAGTAAAACCCCTAGATTTTGACTTGCACTATAAATACATTTTTAAAATAGTATCTGCTCTACTTGTGCTTTGTGTATTGTTCATTTTTATGACATAAGCTACCTGGGTCTACTTGTGCTTTTTTTTTCCTTTTATGAAAAGAATAGATTTGAGTTCAAGTGGTCTTCCTTCATCTTCTAAGCATAATTCATAACCAAGTCAGTTAGGAAGCTTCTACTTTAGGAAAATGGGGATATTGTGAACACATAGATAAGTGAGGGAAATGTTTTAGTTTTAATGAGGGTTTGAAGATCTGAACTCAGAATCTTGGACTGAGTTAAGAAAGGGTTCTCTAATTTGACTTAATTAGTGTTTTCACAGAATTTCATTATTACTTTAAAGCGGGCAGTTCAAGGAGAACATCTTTTCCTTTAAAGTGAGATTTTTAGTGTTAACGGGAAATTGAAAAAAATAGACATTTTATTTGGTTTTTCAAAAGAGGGAAGAGTCCAGGTCAGCATTAGTCATTTCATTCATTTCACTGAAGTTAAGATTTTTATAGATGTTCTTTGAAGGTTAGAAAGGCACAAGCCAGAGCCTCCCCTGATCAAAACATTCTTTCCTTCCTCTGAATGAGAGTCACCTATAGCTGAGGCTAACACTTACTTTGCTTTAATAACTGAGTTGCATCATTGCAGAGGAGGTACCTTGTGTCAGGTTTGTAGGATATGTTTGTCACTTATTCAGGTTTAAGATAAAAAATGTACAGGTAAAACAATGGAATATTTTCAGTTTCACCTAAAGGGCAGCAGAGTGAGGCATGAATCCAAAGAGAAGTTGATTGGTATGGTGTGCTTCTTTTTTGGAATTTCTCACCATGAATTCAAATGAAGAATTGGATTTTGCAAGTTTGAAAACTGGAAAAGCAAGAGATGGGATGCTGCAAATAGTGAACAATCCTTGTGTTGGGTGGAACCCAATCCCAGATTTGACTGTGTGTTATTTTTTTTCCTCTTCCACTTTTCTATTAATTCTGTGTAAATCACTTTAATTTCTGCAGGTATTTTCCTCTCAGATAAAACGACGTTTTGTTTTGTATTATTTTGTCTTTCCTTATGAATGCACTGATAATATTTTAAATGCTCTATTTTAAGATCTCTTGAATCTTTTTTTTTTAATTTGGGGTTCTATAAGGTCTTTATTTCCCAGAAGTAAATATTGCCGTGGGAGGGGAGGGTGGTGGGAGGGAGTCGGGGAAGTGTTAGTACATGGGTGGGGACAGCAGTTTGTATGTGTTAAGCAGCATTACAATTTTATGGTTGGCATGGTTAAAAAGATGGAATATAAGAATAGCTGTTTTGTATTTTGATGACCAATTATGCTGTATTTTAACACAATGTATGTCTGTTTTTTTGTGGTGCTCTAGTGGTAAATAAATTATTTCAATTATATGTTGCTGTGTTTTTCTATTCTTAGTAACATCCTTGAGACCAGCAAACACCCGTGATGCATGATGCACTGAGAATATTCTCAAGCTGGAAAAGTCAGGTCACCCCTAAAGTTGTCCTTTGTACTTTTTTTTTTCTTCTTCTTCTTCTTAAGAATATTTGCTTCAGAAATGTCATGCTACAGCTCAAGAGCCAGGACATATCTATCAAGGACTGAAGAAAGCCCTGTGCAGTCTTTTTATTCTCTTATTTATTGCTATTTGGTAATTGTTTGAGATTTAGTTTCCATCCAGCTTGACCGTCTACCAGAAAAAATGCAGAGAGATATTTCCACCATGATTTGGCTTTCTGGTTCTATGTTCTGCCAACCCCAGGGCCAAAAGAACTGGTCTAGACAGTATCCCCCGTAGCCCCATAACTTGGATAGTTGCTGAGCCAGCCAGATGTAACAAGAGCCACGTGCTCTTTAGAGTTGGTTGTTGGGAGCAGCTTACTCCTCTCTCAGTTTCACCCGTACCACTGTGCGCACGCATGTGTGTGCAACACTCACACACACACACACACACACACCACCTTATTCCCTCAAATATCCCTGGCTGTTACTTACAAGACCAGACTTCTCAAGTGAGTTGCAAGTCTCAATAAATAGAACTAATAAAAAAGTAGTTGTGACTCAATCTGGTTTTCTTGCTTTAGCTAATGAAAGAACTAGTTTGTGCCTGTTGTGTCCTCTGAGCATCACATAGAAACAAACCACCTAATTGAGTATTGAAGCATATAGAAAATGTTCCCTTTTCTGCAATCTTGCGTGTGTTTGATCATTTAAATGCAACTCCTAGGCAGAAGAAGTGTTCCACTCTCAACGTAGTTCAGCTTCTGTATAGAGTAAGTAGCTGGTGCCAGCCTATCGCTCCAGCTCACCACACATTTAATTGCTGAGGGTGGAAGGGTATTTTGGGATCACAGTGATGCATAGAGCCACCTAACAGTTGACCCTCTGGTGCATTTCTTGGCCACTTTATGTCTTTGTTTGTTGTTGATGGTGGTTGTGCTGGGGGTTGAACCCAAGGCCTGATACATGTTAAGCATGCAGGGCTATACTTGGCCCCACCATTTCATTTGAGGATAAGAACATCTGCCTTGCTGAATTTTGTCTGTTTCTTTCTGTGCCCTTGTGGTTAAGTGAATGAACCCCTGAAAAGTACTTGTCTTAGTGTTCAGTCTGTAGCTGATGCTCACTAAATGGTAATCTTGACAATATTTTTCAGCCTGTTCTGGTTTTAATTTATTTCAATCCTGTTGTAATGAGCATTTAATTGCCAGTGTATGGCCTAAGTCTACACTTCTGCATCTTGATACTGTAACCTTCAGATCCTTAGCTCATGAATTGATCAAGACATCAGTCATTCCTGAAGATGTTGCATAACTCTGTATGTTAATCTTCTGGTTACATCAAGGGCAAAAAAAAAAAAAAAGTTTAAGTTAGAGTGGGAATGCTCATTTTAAGCTTTGCTTAAATTTGAAAAAAAAAATCAAAAAAAGGGATAAGGTGTCCAGTTGCATGACTCTATCTTTAACATGGTAATGATTTTAGTGTTCCAAGCACATAATAGACACTGCTCTCTGCTAACTGATTAAATCTCACATTTAACCCTAAGATGTAGGTCTTTGTAATATAAATCCATTTTCAGGGAGGTAAACAGATGAAGCATGGTTAAATTAACTGGTCCAATAACATAGTTCGTAAGTAGAGGGTCTAGAACTCAATTGTACAATACACTAGCCACATGTGGTGACTTGAGCAATTTCAATATGGATAATATGAATTGAGATATGCTAGAAATATAAAATACACACCAGATTTTGAAGACTTAGTAAAAAAATGTAAATTGTAAAATGCATCATTTATAATACTTTTTATATTGGTTACATGTCTAAATAATATAATTTTAGATATATATGGGATTAAATAAAGTATATTATGAAAACTGATTTCACCTGTTTCTTTTTAATTTATTTCATGTGGTTATTAGAAAATTGAAAATTACATCTGTGGCTCATGATTATGCCTTCGATTTGTTGCTATTTAGATGGTTCTGGGGTAGCATTTGAAAGCAGCTGTGTTTAGAAACAAAAGCTCAGCCACTCCTTGAAGCTATATTTCCAGCCTTTGTTTCTGTCGTTGAACAATTTCAGGTCATACTCTGTGAAGCTGCTATTTTTGTAGGTCAACACGTGTTGAATAGTGGCAGTTCTCTAGGGTGCTGATTGACAAAGGTCATAATGAAAATACAAATCTCACATAAACCTCAAGGGTTTACATAAACCCCACCTGCCATGTCCTGTTAAGTGACAGTGCAACCTACTCCTAGGCAAGCTGGGCCATCGGACCAAAAATCTTCACTAATGTGCTTGTGACAACTTTCCCAATCATGTTTAAGGGAGGAGTCACTGGCGTTGAGATGACATTGATTTTCTGGAAATAAGCTGGGCTCCTTCCTCACGCTAACAGCCCTAGAGGTATGGATCCAGGCTTTTATTTCTGAAACTAATATAAGTGGGGATACTTTCTAAAAAAAAAAAAAAATGTCAAAATTTAAAGTACAAAATTTGATTTGGAGCCTTCAGGAAGAGCCCACAATGAATCTCTGGGCTTTAGTTAACAAATTCCTTTGTTTCTATGAAAGCTATACCTGTGATTTTAGCAAAAGCTAAATCTCCAAGCTGCTGCTGCTTCTTTTTTTGTACTAGAGATGGAACCCAGAGGTGCTTAACCACTGAGCCACCTTCCCAGCCCTTTTTATTTTTTATTTTGAGATAGGGTCTCGCTAAATTGCTTAGAGCTTCACTAAGTTTCAGAGGCTGGTCTGGAACTTGCCATCCTCCTGCCACAGGCTCCTGGGATTACAGGTGTGTAACACCATGCCCAGCCCCATGCTTTTTTACTTACCTACTGAACTGACCACTCTGTTCTCTGGCCCTTTTCTTGTCTCTGTCAATATATTCTACGTGCTAAACAAAGAAAAATAAAAACCTGATTTTACTACCATTTCAGGTCAGAGGCAATAGAGGAAATATTTTTCTACCTCTTTTGGAACATAAGAACTAGATCCTTTGAGGTTGGAGAAATCATTAATACAAATATTATCCTGGGATCAACATATATGAATACTTGAGATTGCAAAGGGAAGGATTTTCAGTTGCCTTTTTTCAAATGAAAATATTGCTTTAGGTTTTTCCCTAATTGAATCTTTATTTCCCTGAAATACTGTGTCCTTTGGTTTCTTTATTTCAGCAAGTAATGGCTGTTTGGAGAAGGGATGAGTGTGTTCCTGTAATTGGGCAGAGACCTAGTAAAAGGAACAGAATGTACTGAGGGAGACTTTGTGCTGTGTGATCAAACTAGGAAAATCATTCAGCCTTAGAGAACAGACATAATTAAACAGAAAGAAAAAAACATAGCGGTAAAGAAAATGGCCCAGTATAATCTCTCAGGCTTCCCCCACAAAGCAGAATTTTTCTCTCCTGTAGGTGCCAACCCCACTGAAAGAACACAGATGTGTTCTTCAGGTGACATCACCAAACTCTGGCCAGCCCTAGAGATGGAAACCCTCTCCTTAGGTCCAAATCTCCATTCTGAATCATATAGAAAGTCCCAAATCTCAGGATGTTGGGAGCAAACAAACTAAGAAGTTATGTAATCAGATACCGCTCTAAAGGCAATGTGAAGTCATGCAGTTTGGCTTGTCCTCAAGCATGGGTGTAACACTAATTTCTTCATTTGAGACAAAATTAAATTAAACAGTACAGAAAATGGAACAGAACTTTAAATCAAGTGGTAGTGGTTCATTTAGCGAAGGATCAGATTTCATATCATGTGGGCACATCTTCCTTTTTTGCTCATGGTTCTGCATAGTGGCATTCAGATTCCTACAAAGGTGAAACATAAAAGATGGCCTGAGATTCTTAAAGAAGTCCCAGGGAGACCCAGCAACCTTTGGAAAATTGTCTCCTTGTTACAGACTCTAATAGTCAACCATGAGGAAGGACTCCTATAGAGTTTGTTAACCAAGGACATAGAAATGTAAATTGTAAATAGATATGATGGAATCAAATAATACATAATATATTTTTCAATTTATACTTGGATGTATATATAATTTTAAATGTTATATATACATGGTGTAACGTGGGAAATAATTTCAACCCAAACAAGGTGGCAGTGATTCTGATTTATTTACTTTTTATCAGGGACCTGGAATAGTGAGATTCATGTGGGCAGGATGGAAGTGGAGGAGAGAAAGGACAAAGAGAGGTGGGTGAGGAAAGGAGGGGGAGACACTGAGCACCCATTCTATGCATTCTACAGCTTTAGTCAAGACTGGTGTCTGTAGACTAGACCAAAGCACCTAAGTGAGTGGGGAGAGAAAAACAAATTGTTCAACCAGGTTGAACTTCAAGCAAAGGGATTCAGACCAGGAATCCTGCTGTGTCATTGTCTTTCAGCAGGAGTCTGCAAAAGCTAAAGTGCTAGATGCATCAATGATGTCACCTGGTAAAGGTGCTCCTGGTCCTGTCCCTGCCCTGCTGTGCTAGGTTTCAGGAATAGCCACACCCTCCTTCCCCAGGAGGCTCCCTCAGCACAGTGAGTGATCCCAATCCCATGCTTCCTACTCTGGATGATGGCTCATTTAACTTGTGGTTCCAGCAACTTAGTACACAGCTTAATTCATGTAAATTTAAAAAAAAATATATGTGTGTTAAATGGAGGAAAGGCACAGATGGGTTTGTAGCTTCAATTCTACCACTGGCCATATATGGGAAAAAAATCCTTTTTTCATTGCCTTCTTCAATAAAGCAAAAGCACTGGATTAGGTAGCCTATAAAGTCCTTTGCCTTTTTCTTTTCTTTTGGTCTTGTTTGGTTTTTCTTGATTCTTCGGTTGGCCTCCTGTGTTTTTCTCCAATTGCATCAATGAGCAGCAAGCATCTATTCTTAAATTC